AGCTATTAATCTGTGTTCTCTGGCCACCAAGTCAATGCAATTCACAATTAGAGCTTTTTTTTTTTTTCAGCAGTTTATAAATTCTAGAGGCTGGAGTTTCAGTTTTAAAGCAACTTAATCTTCTGTGGTCTCATCCGGCCCACGCTGCTCATGTATTGCTGCAGAGGAAGCCTGATGCTTCGTACTCATATGAGGAAGCCTGGTACTGCGCGAGCAGTATGAGTTTTCCTAGCAGACTCTCGATATTTCTCAAGCCTTGCAGCCCTTCTGCCCTGTAAGCAGGGCCAGCGCCTCTCGTCGTGCTTGTGCAACAGGGAGCGCACGTGCCCAGTAGCTGGCATATTTGCACCAAACGCGTTAGCTGGGAGACTGTGATTTTTCTTTAATGCGTATTCCTAGATTTTCTTTCGAAGCAATATGCTATGAGAACAACGTTTTAGCATAAATGAAAAGCGAATCTAAGGTTTCCTGCTAAGCTCCCGTCCACCCCGGTTTTGGTGGAATAGACTGATATTCTGGAAGGCTGGCTGGAAAGACTGATATTCTGGCTATTCTGATCAGATGAGCAAGGTTACTGTAATGTTTGACCTCATGGAAAATTCAGAAAGTAGTTAAATTTGACGTTTTGCTGATAACCTTTGTAGTATAAAGGAAAGCTCTCAGGAGCTCATTTCTATGAAATATAATGAACAGCAACTCTTCACAAAAGAGAAACTCAAATCACCCTTCTATCCTGAAGTCCCCAGCAGCATGCCAGAAGGCTTTCCCGAATAGCATTCGATAGGGAGCTGAATAGACGGCGTGCTTAATAAGCTATGTTGTGATGAGCTTTAACAGATCCTGGAAGTACAAGGCAAGGCAGATGAGTGCGTTTTTCATTTTTATGCCTTTTTGAATCAGAACTGCAGTGTACTGCAGTTTCGGGGGTAGATGTCAAATATTCCTTACTTTACGTAAGTTGATAGGAATTCCTATACATTGTTGTTCCCAGCATTGAAGTAGAGGAACACTAGAGAGCAGAAATGACTTAAATTCACAAGAATCCTCCCGAAAGAATGTTGTTGTGCTGTGCCGTGCCCATAATCTCTCTAGCCTCGCGTCCCTCATTTGAGATGGTAGATAGCTGCAGGAGGAAGAGGCATGACCCTTTTTTAGAGCATAGAGCCCAGGCCTCTGGATGGGTAAAGCTCACCGATCAAACCCGCTGTCACGAGTCGAAGAGGCTAGTAGTAAATAAAAGACTGGATACTTGGACAGAAACACTTCCATCAGAGAAGGAGAAGATTTAGAGGTTTGAATTCCAGTGTTTCGGGACCATAAATCAGGCGCTGCATGACAGGGTGAGGAATTTAACTGACGTTAACTGGCCAGAGATTTATGTGTTTATGGAATCTAATACTTCTTTGGTCTTGGAAAGCAAACTGGATTACAGAATTATACCAGAAGGCAGAGCGGAATTTATCGTGAAACATCTTGTAAATACAAGTGCCAGTGAGGAAGGGAATGGTTTATGTAACAAGTCTTTTCCCAAATAACATTCATCTTGCTCTCATGTTATGGATATATATTAATAGGATAATAGCTACTAAAATAATGTTGGATGTACAGAACTGGATGAACTCTCTTCCATTAGGTGTGTGTTGCCCCTCCCGAGCTGTCAGTCTGCTTACTTAAGAGGTTGAATTGTTGCTCCCCAGCACTAAAAGAGGCGGCTGCTTCCATTTATGGCTGGGAAATTCCCAAAGCAAAATGTGCTGTCAGTTTGTTCATCCCTCTGCAATGTGGAATGGGTGAATTCTCTGAAGTACTGAAGAGCTTAACTAAGGACATGGCTTTATCCCAAGCTTCGTGCTGGCTTACACGTTCCCCAGCCCTCCTTTTGCAAAATGATGCTTGAATGTAGACGAGCCAACCTGAGGCATCATCAGCTGGAGTGATCTGCTTTTATTTTTAGTGCACCAAAGGCAATTGGGGGGAGCAACAGAAACTCACTCTGTCCCAAAAAACTTCCGTAGGTGACTTTTCTTCACCGCTTAAGTAGCGGTGTTAAAGGTGTGGCCTTCATCGTTAGAGGTGAAATTTGCTGTGCTGTATTCTCTCACTACAGGTAGAACGAGATAAAAATGCTGAATTAAATAACTGATGTGTTTGGCGGCTGGAGTGGATTGTCAGCGGTGAAAAATTGAAGCCCGTTACTCAAAAATCTTAATTTGTGGGTCATGGGGTTACAGATTCAACTTGTGTGTATCAAAGTTCATTAACTTACTCAACAGTGCAATTCAAGAAAAGATTTCTTCCATTTGATTAGAAGTGATGAAATCAAGCAAGTAATTAGTCTCGTTTGTTCAGCTGTGAATTGGGGCTTAGCATGTTCTGGTAGCTCCGGCAACAGCACTCGACTGATATGCAAACGATTTGAGCAATCCAGGGAGGAGGAATGGTACCTTTGCCACGGTGGCGAGGTGTCAGGCCGGGGAGACAGCAAAAATAAACACGAGCTCGCATCAGTGTGTGAATAGGGGGTGGTCATGATTTCAGGAGGTTGGTATGTGTTTGAACAGGAGTTTTGCTCATGCAAGAGCTGTTATGAATGGATTACTGATGGGTGTTTGTGCCTCTGCGGGTGGAGCCTGCACCTCTCCTGCCTATGCAGTTACTTTATTTTGCTGCATACTTAAGTTTGCTTTGAAGAAAACGGATTTCAAGCATAGGCAGTGCCAGTGATCTCCAAACTGTTCGTAACACAGGCATTCTATTCCCTTTTGATGCACTGTACTCTTCTTACAAGGGTTAATGCTTTGTGCATACTTGATCTCGCATTTCTTTTTGTTCTTTTCAGAGTTCAGCTTGAATCTTGGATGTCGTTGTAGTGTTGTCATGAAACAAAATTGTGTTGTGGACTGTTTCCTTTAACATGTCGAGTCTTGTGCTCTCTGGAAAGCGGTTGTTGGTACCAAAGTGGCGTTTGTTTGGAGAGAGATAAAAAGGCCCCCTTACAAAGTTTGCATGTGTGTGTTTACAGTTATGAAGCATCATTCCACGTTTGCCTTTTTCTTCTGAAATGGTATGGCAAAGAGGAAGGCAGCGCAGGAGCGTAGGTTTGAGTGGTATCAGTCAGCACTTGTTAGAAGCACATGTTTATTAAATGGTTTGATTTCTGAAAGAACACAGTTATTACACCTCAGGCTGTTCATCAGAAGCCCTCCTATACCTGATGTGCACAACTATCTTCTCTCCGTTAGGACAGAGAGTACGACAAATGTACCTACACTAAATTTGAAACTTGGAAGCATTTTGTTACTGGGACATCAATGCCAGTATCTGTTATATACGGTTCAGTATTTATTACTCTGTGATCTGTGCTAAAACTTGCTCTCGTGAGGGTCTGTTGGGGGAAAGGGTTAGAGTAACTAGAAACCACTTATATAAGACTCTTGGTCTTAAGTGATGTGCAGTTAAATAGTTCTTAAAACTCAAGAGGGAATTTTTCTGAAGTTAAGACGTGAATTTACACTTCTGTGTCTCCAGTTGGTCGTACCCCCCAAGCACAAGCCGTGTGTTCAGCACTAAACAATCCTTGACTCTCTGAGTGTTGAGATGTCTTATCTGCAGGCAGTGGGTTTGTGTGTAAACGGAGAGGGGGAGAAATGAGCCAATTGTAACAGAGTTAATTTTTTCCTAATATCCAGCAGCTAAGAGCTATACTCGGGGGCTGTCCAGTTGAATTCTTCTCTTTGCTCCTTTATTTGCTTTAAGCATACATGTATTGATGTAAGTTGATGGGGATCTGCGGGCAGTAGGGAATGAACAGTGCCCACAGTAATGCAGGCATTTTTGAGTGCATGAAAAGTTAAATATGAAGGCAGGACTGGTGGCCTAGGGTGCCTGCCAGGAAAAAAGCAGCTTGGGGCAGTGGTGCCCTGAAGCCTCTGTGTATTGCTGTTTCTAATCTGCCTTGTCTGAAGTGGTTGAAATGGATTTCATTCCCCTAAACACCTTAAAGAGCTTTCGATTTAGGAGTTCATCTGGTTTTTGCCTCATACCTTTTCTTTTCTTCTATTTTTTTTGTTTTCTTTTACAACAGCTAGTAGCTATGTAGGGAGAAGATGTTCGGCTCCTGGCATCCACTCGGTCTTTTCAGAAAACCCCCAACTCTGCAATTTAATTTAATGCCCTTTTTCTTCTTTTGGTCAGCCAGCAAGATTTCAGAAAGGGAACCTGACCTTGTTTTCATTGATCGGTCTGCAGTTTGACCCGAATGTGGGTCTGGGTTGTCGGGTCTTTGTCTGCTGGGGCAGGGTGGGAAGCGCACAGAATACGCATCAGAAACCAGGCAGTGCAAATACCCGTAGGAGTGCACTGAACGAGAGACAACAGGCTTCGAGGAGCTGGTTGCAACAGCTATGTTTTTCTGATTCAGCAGAAGTCATCTTTACTTGTATGTTTGGGCAAGAAGCTTAAGTGTTTCTATCCCAAATATTTGAAGGTTTTGGGAGAAACACATGGCTTCAAACTCTGAGCAGGCTTCATCCAGTTGGAAGTAGTCATTTTATTAGTAGTAGCAATACCTGCTTTGTGTGTAACCTCGCAGAGGTATTTCTGCCAAAAGTTATTAGTTATTTATCTTCAAATACCGGTTTAAGTTTTTCAGATGTCTGTTTTAGCCTTTGTGGGTGCAACCTTTAAGTGTGAATTACTCTTGGTTTTGTTTTTGGTAAGCTGTCGTTGCAATAGTAAAAACAGAGTGTGGAAAAACAAATGCTTTGCTGGTGAAAACTTGGTGTGGGCTCACCAGCTTTAAGCAATGCGGTTATGAAATAAGTTTGCAAGGCTCCGCTGCTACGTGGATTAAGTGGGAGCTCTCTGAGAAGATGCCAGAGGGTTCCTGGTTCTTTGAGTCGCTGAAGATGCCAGAGGGTTCCTGGTTCTTAGAGTCTCGTTCTGCTTTTGATCAGATAAAGCAATCAGCATGTTTTGTGTTCTGTTTGTCTTCACAGGCGCTCGCAGCCAATGCTGGGACAGGGTTTGCGGTGGCAGAGCCTCAAATTGCCATGTTCTGTGGGAAGCTAAATATGCATGTGAATATCCAGACTGGGAAATGGGAACCTGACACCTCCGGGACCAAGAGCTGCTTTGGAAGAAAGGAAGAGATTCTGCAATACTGCCAGGAGGTGAGTTTTTCTGTGTGATCCTGAATCTTCACCACTGCTAGGGAATTGGATTCCGATTTAGCCGATCAGTAGCGGATTAACCCTGCAGGAGACTAACTTGCGTGTGACTAGCTCAGTTCCCTGAACTGTCGTGCTGTCTTACTGCCCAGGAAGACAGGGAGGACGCTGCAGTGGGATGTAGGAGCTGCCTCTGATTACACTGCCACAGAAGGTCCTTGGTCTGTAAGTCAGAGAAGTATCTGTGTCTGTCTTTGCAGGGCTTTCTTCAAATGTTCTGCGTCTGGGCCAGTTAACCAGCATCTGCTCTGTGTCTGTGCAAAATGGAACCTGACACCTGTTCTAATTAGAATGTGGCTGTGTTGTTCTCGGTGACGTGTTCAGATCAGCCAGAATATTAGAAAAATAGTTTCATCAAAATGTTGATGGTATTTTTAGGCTCCTCATGCTTCATTGTAAAATACATAGTCTCTTTTCAGTGTGCCTCAGATGCAGTGGAGTGTATTGGCCTTGATAAGCGTCTTTAGTTGCTCCTCTGAGGTGGCAGGCATGTAAAATACCACAAGGGATGTTTTTTTTAAAATGGAGAGGTGATAGAGCACACCGTGTCTGGACTGGAAAATGTTTAGAACTGTTTTACGAGGCTGATATAACTGGGGCTACATTTGGTTCACGTAGCGGAAGCCTAAATATAAGTCAGTGTCTGGAGTTGAGAACTCGAGCAGGACATAGGGATCATATTAATACATCATAAATGGAGCAGGCATAAGGAAACCTGAGGAGATAGGTGCATATTAACTTGGCAAGGGACGAGAGAGTCTGAAGATGTTACTAAACCCTATTTGTTGGTGATTGCCCTCTTCCAGAGGGTATCATGCTGCACCGGACAGAGTAGCACAGATAAATGCTTCTCTTCCACTACCATGCAAAGCCCAACACCTCAGCTTAGTGGCAGTGAAGGGTCTTGCCCCTGACCTGGCTTTCTCCTGCCACAAAGAAGCGATGAGACATTCCGTTTCTGAAGCCCTGTGTGACAAACAGCTGGGGGCTTTTTTATGTCTTCAGCTGTTGTAAGCTTGATGTGGAAGAGAATGTGTGTCCGTGTGCAAATTTGAACTTGTTTTTGTGTGGAGAATCAGCCTCGCTACTTCTGGTTAGGAGCCACTTTGCACATTCTTTGTCCTTTCTGGAGAGAAACCGATCTCTGCGTCTTGTTAAACAGATGTATCCAGACCTTCAGATTACGAATGTCGTGGAAGCCAATCAACCTGTCAGCATCGACAGCTGGTGCAAGAGAGGGAAGAAGCAGTGCAAGGACCACACTCATATTGTCGTGCCCTACAAGTGCCTGGGTGAGTGCCTGTATGACGTGTTTGTGCATTCTTGTGGGAGAAGCAAAGAATTGCCTCCTGGTGGTCTTACAGAGAGAATGACTGAGTTTATAAGGCTTCTCTCGTATCAGGTTGCCATTTCCACATCCAGCTTCCACTTAAACGGTTTTATTTCCATAAGATGGAACTCTGCCTTTCTCGAACAGATCAACAGCTTGATAACAGCTGTGGTGGAATAATGGTGCCTGGCGTGAAAAAGAAATTCCCATTCTCTCTGCAACTGCCATGAAAACCTGAAGGCTATTGTATTTGAGTATCACAAAGACATTGGGATTTAATACTCTGATCCTATTTTTGTGGAGCTTTAATATTTTGTTGCCTTGGAGACTTAACTGCTCGGTGTGTTCAGGCTTCCTGCTTTGGTCTTGGCAAGAGATCTCCGTTCTATTTCAATGACTATATTTAAACTTTGCTGTTTCAAAGAGGCCCTGCTTCTTGCAGCTGTATCCCATGTCCCCACTTTGAACTGTGAAAGAATATGAGATAAGCTGTGATGGGTTTCATGGTGCTTTCCAGAATCTGTCCACCCACTTGAATCAGGCAACACGTTTAGCTTGTTCACCGTGCGGCTTTTGACCTGTAGGTTGTGCCTGACACTGTGCTGCACTGCATGTGTTCTTAGTAGTAAGCTTAGTCTCAACTGGCTGAATCTCTTTTCAGTTATCTACTGAAAAAGACTTGTTTTGCAAGAAGTCTTGTGCATTTGTGGAGAGTCTGATTGCTGGGAGCATTCAGTGGGAACCAGTTTTCATAATTCATATCCATACCTCAGGTTAGCTTATGGTTTGACATAGGAGAACACAAGCAAATCTGCAGAACTGTATGGGTACTGTTCTCCTGTATGTAATACCCTCCACTAGACGATCGTAAAGCACTTTGTAAGAAACGAAATTTGCTGTGGATACATCCTGGGAGAAAGATGCATCTCTTTATAGATGTGGAAATTCAGGTTTGAGAAGCAACCATACCCAGCTGATTACACTGAGAACTTCTAATGGAAATAACGATGAAAGCAAGACCTCTGGATTTATAAGGAGTCATCTCTTTTAGAAATAATCCTCCCCCAAGCCTATTCTGCAGCTGAAAAATAAGCTGATTTTAGTGACACGGCCCTAAAATTTGATACGCATTGAACTATCCGTTAAAGTTTTTAATTAGTGTCTTTCACAGTGTTCTTGACTTGTTCGGCCCAGCCTGCCAGGCAGCTTTGGTTTTCAGATCTGAGTTGCAAGTCAGTCCATGTATGTATAAAATACCTTTTTGTTGTCTTTAGCAGTACACAAATTGCTTGTTGTAAATGGATGATGTGTTTCTCCGGGGTGCGTATGATTATAGTAGAACTATGGTTATTTTCTTCCCATTCTTGCTTGTGTCTTCCTCGCTACGTTAATGCGCAGGCTATCTTGAGGTAGGATCTTGCTATCAGACCATGTTTAACCTTCTCCTGCCTCCCCCCACCAATGAAAGCTCTTTTGTATTTCAAAGGTGAAGAGGGGAGAAGAGGAGAGCCCATTAGCACTCTCACTGAACTGTAAAATAAAGGTAACAATAGGATGATGGGAGCAGGGCTGAGCCTGGTGAGGTGTGAAAAGACAAACTGCTGACAGTTCTGGCTAAGCTGCTAGGTGGCATGGAAATGCCTCTTCGGCTTGCTCTGATCTGAAAAGGGAGAGGATTTTTCTTTTTTGACAGCGCAGTGTGTAAGGGTTTTCTGGTTCCTAGGTGAACCGAGAGAACCTTCCATGTGTCTTACGCAAAGGTGCTAGGATTCAGTGTTTTTCAAAATAGCTGTTTATTACTGAGTATTGTATTTGATTGGTTTAAGTCTTCTGCCTTTCAGTCCCAGAACCACAGTCTCTTGATGTTAAAGTTCGGTCAGTTTTAGCTTTTTTATCAGAAACTTTTTAGTTAACCTCTCGTGAGAGGGAAGGAGGAAGGATTATTAACTCAAAATTGTAACTGGCCTGTTTTGAGAGAAGAAAATGGGGAAAATACCATTTCTCTTGTTGTGTCTACTAGTTCAAAATTTAACTAATTTAAAAGGGATGATGAATGCTAGTTGATTTCGTTATCTTGCAGTTGTCATCAGATAATCTCTCCCTAAACTCTATTTGACTTGTGTATAGTGTGTAGGAGAAGTGTGAGCCTTTGGTATCAGTACTAAGGGGCAGCAAAAAAATGGGTCACGCAAAATATTAAAATTTATTTTGAAAAGATAATGTTGAAGATTGGTTGGACAAGTAATTCTGCTCCCTGGAGACTCCGTGAGAAAAGCCTTTGACTTAAAACTTCTCTCCAATTTTAGCAAATGATTCCTAAAGCTGCCCGTCATGTGTGGAAGGTGTGTTGCTTTGAAACACTTGGACTGTAGATCTTTTCCTGGCCTTCTCCAGAGTATCTAGATATCTCCTTATTTTAAAATTACTGGATGTGGCATTTAAATCTGCAAGCAAGAAAGAAAAATCTCAGCTTTGAGAAAATTTCACATTTTAGATTCCAGTGGCAGTGTTTGTTAGGACTTCTGGGCTAGGAACTGAAGGTTCCTGATACTTACTTTGCGTGTGTTGGTACCAAACTGACTTGTGGTGGAAATTTAGGCTAAATAGCTTTTAAGTCCAACTAATACAGAGTCTGTAGAGCAGACTGATTCCCTCTCTCTCCTCCCTGCCTTCCTCAAAAGCAAAAGTCTGGTTTTAAGATTGTGCCAAAATTTCATCATGCTGGTGAGGTTGTGGTTATCTACTGTTGGAATGCAGTGTATTTGCTGACTCTGGTTGTACTCTGGGTTTTGGACTGTATAGTTATTATTTTTCCAGCCCTCTGTGTCTTGGTTAGGACTGTCCGAGTCAGGGAATGTGCTGCAGTTGATCCTGAATTAAACCATCTGGAAGCAAAACAAAACCAAACCAAACCAGACTTGCTCAGCTCTCCAGATACTGAAAACATAGATAACACTCGTGGCTTATAAAAATTTCCAGGCTGTTAGAGCAGCAGACAACATGAACTAGCTTTGGTGTGATGCAGCTCATTTGGAAATTGGTGATTAAGTGGTTTGAAAACTGCCATATGCAGATGCAATCTTTTCAAAGATTTGCATGAAATCTCTTCAGTCAGTCCTGTTTGTTCCATGAACAACTATTTATTAACATGCATTGTAAACTTTGCCTTCAGTACAGCCTTGGGGTTTGCATAATGTTTCAGCGATCGGCCCCTACTCCTGTGTTTTACCTTGGAAACTCTGAGGCTCTGTTCTTGTCTAAATTTGCAGAGCTAGCTGCTGATCTGACCTGTCCCTGTTAAGAATATAGCAAGCTTTTAAGGCACTTGCAACGAAGTGTACTTTGGGGGAGTTCTGATGGTGGCTTTGTTTTCTGTTGGAAGTTGGACATGTGTGAACTATGGATGTTTCTTGTTTTTCAGTGGGTGAGTTTGTAAGCGATGTCCTGCTGGTTCCAGAGAAGTGCCGATTCTTCCACAAGGAGCGGATGGATGTGTGTGAAAGCCATCAGCACTGGCACACTGTGGCAAAAGAGGTAAATGAGCTGCTGTGGCAGGAATGTTTATTCTGGATCTGTCCACTTGGATGCTTGTAGTATTGCAGCGTAACAGTGTTCTATCTCTGGGGTCTGTTATTCCCATGTTGCAGTCTATGGACTGAGGCAGAGAGCAATGAAAAAAAAATTCAAAAGTACTCAAGTGACTTAAAAAATCTGCGTAGCTCGTTATTCTTCACTCATGGAAAGCTATCCTAAGTAGCTAGCCCAAGATCATACTCTAGGATGGAGCTAGGAATTGAAATCAGGTGTCTAGGATATTGCTTTAACCAATGGCTCATCCTTCTTTGCAGGGTAGAGCTACAGTGGTCATAGGACGTTTGCTATTTTTCTTGTACATTCTGCGTTAATGTGCCTGCTGCTGCTGGGGATTTGGTTGGGAGTGCTTGCTTGGGGACAATCTGAGTTTCGTTGTGACTGATTAGTGGAGGTTTTACGTAAGAGATGGATTATCTTCTCAGAATAAATCTAGCCCATGAGGTGGTTTTGTTTGTTTGCTTTATCTGACTAGCAAAAATGTTGCAAATTCTCTGCACGCCCATTTGAACTGGGAGTAATAAAAGCAAGATGATGAGGAAATAGACCTGTTTTTCCATTTTGTGGAAACAGCAACACAGTGATTAGTTGTGATGGTGTGAGTAAAGATGAGGTTAAGGATGCACCAGTTAAACTTCCTATTTCTTTAAAATCCTAGGAGCAAAACCCCATCTAAATAAAGCTGTGCTAGAGGAATCACCTTTTAATTGAGGATAAACTTGTTTATGTCTAGCAAATATAAAAATCACTTGCTTTCAACATAGTTGGAGAACTTTCCCAGAAATATTTGGCTCATTTTACATTGGTGCTGTAACAAAGCAAAGCACTAAAGGGTTATGATGTACGTAATAAAGCCTTCCCCTTTTCTGGGGCACCACAAAGCCATGTATTTCCTTACCTTAAGAGAAATGTACAGACATAATGTCTAATCGCAGTTTGCATTTGGCTTTTTCTTGAAATATCTGATTGATTTTCATCTACAGCACGTTAAAATGATCTTGACACAGAGTCCATTTGAGCGATTATTCACTTACTCCAATGTAAAGTTTAATAGATAAAGTTTAATGAAATGGCCAGCCCAGAAAAGCAAACAGCAATTCTGTTTCTTTCAAGTGCTCTCTCCCTTGAGCTGGCACAAAACGTCTCGTTATTTGTCTTGAACTTAGCCAGGCTGACAAATCAGCCATTGTTAGGGGCTGAGGGGGGTTTGATACGTTAGCACCAGGAAGCACTGCGTGGCTCTGGATCTGGGACTTGTCTGGGGATTTTGCTTGAAATCCCCCTACAGGTTGCAAATCCATTTGCCTTTGATGTTCAGGCTTAGGTTGTATATTGCTGTTGTCTTTTTGCTGTAAAATATAGACCATGGGTAGTATTCTTGGAATCTATGATAGGCAAACTTTAGCTTTATGCAAAGCAAGAGCATGGTGCTAAACTGACATCCTTGGGCTCCTCTTTCAGGCCTGTCTGACAGAAGGCATGATCCTGCACAGTTACGGCATGCTGCTGCCCTGTGGAGTAGACAAGTTCCACGGAACAGAATATGTGTGTTGTCCTCAGACAAAGGTTGTGGATGAGGCTCTGTCCAAAGAGGAAGAGGATGAAGATGAGGATGAAGACTATGACCTTTATAAAAGGTAGGGTTCTTACTGGCATAGATGTTAGCAGCTCTGTATGTGAAGCTGCTGTCTGTGAGTTTTTCACACAGGGCCTCCCTTGTGGTGAGGATTGAGAGGAGAATTTCTGTGCTTTTGAATTTCCCAAAGGAGTGTCCCGAGCCCGAAAAAGCCTTGCAGAAGGACAAATGACTTTGCAGTGCTCCTGTTACTGGAGGAGCTGAACC